GCATTAAGAAGACTAAAGGTGGAATTAAGGTAGGATTACCGGTGATTTGGGCACATCCCATATTATGAGAGAACTCAAACCCACGTATTTCTGTGTAAAGGAGTTAAAACTAGACATGTAATACTTAGGAATAAACCAGCCAAAACCCAAAAAGATCCAAAGAAAATTCAGTTACCTGTGCCTGCACAGGCAAGTTAGCTTCAGGGAAATCCATCTGGCATTTGTTTATCTGTGATGAGATTTCTTGCATTGTTGTTTCTACAGCAAGATTCTGTTTAAGATTGGACATCTTTACCCTCTCCTCTCTATTCCCAAGCCTGACAGCATGTAAGAATCCTGCCCTTACAGCACAGTCTTTGCTTTGAGCTGTAGACACTGACTGGGATAACAAGCTATTAAAACAGCTGTTTGGCCTTGCTTGAGTATTTTGACACTGGAAACAGGTTTCAGATACTCTATTCATCTGCAGTTCTTGAAACTATGATGAACTGCAGCTGCATCCTAAAACTTTTTGTTTGTCCAAGCTAGCTGGAATAGCCACTTTCAGAGAACAGACTTCTTTCTTCTTTTCCCCTGTCAAATTCAAGTAATACCTCATTTGTCTTATTTAAAATGTTTGGGTTTAGACCATGCAAATACCCCGGGAGAGATAAGAGGAATATCAGCGAGGTTGTATTCTGAATGGTCTGTGCACAAATGTAATACCTTTGCTGACATCCCCTTTAGTTAAGTTTACTAAAAATAAGAGGTCAAATCATACACAGTGCTGGACACTCACAACCTTTTAAGTAACAGCAGCCCTTTTTTTTCATCTTCCCTGCATTAAGACACATACCATTGGCTCTTTAGGGCATTATATCATTAAACTGGTAAAAAATGCAATTTAACATATGTTTTGAGAAAGAAAACATGGGCCCTGAATGTCAGGGAAACAATACAATGAACGTTCCGAAGGATCATGAAAGAAGCTGGGTAGTGTGAGGTATGATCTTGATTTGGGTGCCTCATGGAAATGTGATGGAAACAGCAAGTAGCCTTTTTCATATTGTTCAGCAGCTTGGGGGAGAAGAAGGGAATAAGCTTTTCCAGTACATCTCTGGGGAAAATAAATACCTCAACTTGAAACAGGTTATACAGAAGGAAAGAAGATGACACAACAGTCCCTGCGGTTGCAGTTTTTAACTTTTGCATAGTTCATGAGTTATTTTTAAAGGTGAGCTCTATATGAGAACACATCCAATAACAGGATCACACTTTTTTAGTTCTCTGTGCCTTTTCCAGTTTGGCCCACTATTATACAGGGGTTTTGTAAAATAAGTGTTTTAGAGTTTCTGATTTTAATTAATAATTCACAGACCAAAACTGATACATTAGCACTTCTTACACCAGTGACAGCCAAACACAGATGTGCTACTTTCGTCTAAATATTAAAAAATGGTATAATCTTGTTAGTGCAGAAATTCCACTCAGGCCAAAACTAGTTTGGGGTTTTTTTGCTTGTTTGTTTTCCTTTTCTGGGGGGATAGGAATGTTTAGCAGGTAGGAATAGTGTTACCATGAGGCCTGAAAAGCTAAAAAAAAAAAAAAAATGTATCAAATGCCTACCTGGCAAAATTGTATTATTCAATTTTTGATATAATACAAACTACTTCAACCCAGCTCTTCTGTTATCCACACCCCTGACTTGCTCATACATTTCATCCTAATTTCCCTGAAGGTGAAAGTAAAAATTAAACTTGGTCCACTTCTGAAATGAGCAGAATAGTCCACAACTTCAGCAATAAATACAGAATAAAATACAGTTATCAGCAGGAACCTACAGCTGGTTATCCTTTGGCCTGATAATAGTTCAGGTGAGGACAGCTTATTAATGGATCCATCGTTATCATCAACCACCTAAATAATTTTGCAATACTGAATGTAAGATACTTTTCCCCTCCAGAATCAGCCACTAAAAATGAAAGTGCTCAGGAGTGGAAAGACTCTGCTGGAGCCCTGGATATGGGCTTGGGTTAACTGGAAACTCAGAAGCTGGGTTGTTTTACTGAATTTGAAGCTTTTGGTTTTTGAGTAAGTCCAAGTAGTACTTGGTGCTCTTAAAGCAAAAGGAGGAAAAACCTGCTTAAAACTTTCCTGGAGCACATTTGAAATGATCCAACTCTGCAAGATAGGACAAGGGAGAAGGTTAATGTTTATCAAACACTGGAGCTGTCAAAAAGCTCCATTTCAGGCTGGGGACAGCCCTACACACGAACATCAGCACTGTCCTACCCAACACTGCTCCTGGGACACACACACTTCTCAGAGGCACAGGATGGATTCCCAGCTTTCTCCACATGGCATCCCCCAAAGAACTCTGAAATGTCACATCTTTGATTTGGCTTGAGACACAAACCAAAAAATCAGCATTTCAGAGTCTAGGGAACAGACTATCATGCCTGTAATTATCTACACAAGGAGATAGTTCACCTTCTATGGTGCAAGAATATAACAACTTTGCCAGGAGTCAGGAATGCCTCCCATGCCAACACTGAGCAAGGAAGAAGAATAAAAACAGACAAGAGGTATTCTTTATTTACAACCTGCACATCTAGAATTCAATTATTTTAACTTGTCTAGTGACTTGCTGAGTTAGGTAGGATCTGGTTTTTATTCTTTCAAAGAATTAAAGTGGTCTAAATAAAAGCACCAGCAATTAAGTATTTTCACTTTTAACATGTCCTTTTTATTCAGATTGAGGTGATGCATGAAGCAAGTCAAGGAGGATCGAGCAGAGTCCTGGTGACCAGTGAAAGTGATGAGAACTTGTCAACAAGGAGGAGGTAAGGCTGCACACACAAGCCAGTATATTTTTTTTTTCTTCTTAGAATGCAAATTATTGCATTTATAGTATATTCTCTATAACTTCTTTGAAGCTCACCAAGATTAATAAATAATTATCTGTAATGAAATCACTGAAATGCTTACAGCTATCCATTTATACCCAGTCTATCAGATGGAAAAGCAAGAAAGATTTATCTTTTCTTTGGGTTGGTTTTTTTTCCCCCTTTTTTTTTCCTTAGAAATATTAATTACAAGGTGTGAGAAAATAAGTAATTAGAACAAGCCTTGCATGTATGTTCAAAAAAAAGCAGCGTTAAAGACCATCTCAGTGTTCAGAATGGTCATATTTGTCTATATGCCTCTGAGAAGCTTCTTGGTTTTATGAATGCATGCTAGAGATTGTGCAGCCTTGAGAAAAAGATTGTTAATGATATATTCCAAAGCACAAATATTTAAGTCACTTAGTTCAACAAAAAGTACCAAGTAAACAGTTTAATTTAGCTGAACTGCAGTTTCTAGGCCAAAGGGAGCAATTAAAAAAAAACCACCACACCAAAAAAACCACAACAAAACCCACCCTGCAAGAAGCCAAATGCCACAATCCCCACTGACTTCATTTGCTTTGTTCTCTTCTTCACTATGATTTAGATAATTCCTACTTACGTTATGCCCCTGTCTCACACAGGTATACACTGAACTTACCTGATGCAAAAGACTCCATTTGTAAAAACCTTAGGTTGATACATTATGCCAAAGACTCCATTTGTAAAAACCTTAGGTTGATACATTATGCCAGACAAATTGGAGAGACATACAAATCATCATGATATGAATTTAATTATACCCTAGGAAAATACCATGTCTGGTCCCCAAACCACCCACTAGTTTTCAAAAGGTGCAAAGTATGACCTGAAATCTTATGTAGATAAACACACATCTCCACAGGAACAACTGCCTAAAGACACCATACAAACAACAACAGGTTAAGCTTCTAATATCTAGCAGTTCTATACAGCTTCAGACCTGGAAGCTTGGTAAGCAAATTTGTGAGCTGTCTCTTTTCTGGGGAACACTGATTTTGCCTTTTGTTGAGGACAGGTTTGGTACCAGGGAGAACAGAAAGGATGGTGGGGGCAGGGGGGCAGTTTGAAATCCTCTCAAGAGGGAACTCGGGATAACACTTGAAACCATCAGAGCTGGTCCTGTCAGCTACAAAGAAAGCAACAAGAGATGTTTACCTCTGCTGTACTCTTTAGGGTTTTTTAAAAGAAATAAGTCTGTTTATTCAAAACAAATTTTACAAAACAATTGTCTTTCTGTGGTACAGAGCAAAGTTTAAGAATAAATACTGAACACTTTGTATAAAAATTAGTAATATCAAAGGGAAACTGATGCAAACCAAACAAATTGGTAAAAAAAAAATTTAGCATTAAATATGCTGTGCAACAATGTCAAACTCTTAATGAGGAGTGACCATTCAGGCTGATACAGTTTTATTTGTTGAAGTAAAACCTGACAGCCCTGCATTGGAGCACCGAGACTATTGTTAAAAAAGGTTCCAGATGAAAGTGTACAAATCTTGTGTTTAGAACCAAAAAATAAGAAGTTTTCTAGTGTCTCCATTTTTTGAAAGGAGTGCCTTCATACTTTTCTTTTTATTCAACAAGCAACTTCTTTTCACTGCAGCAAAAGAAAATGCATACTACAAACATCAAGACCCTTTTAAGGTTAAGAAACAATCCAAACAAAACTCAAACCAACTGTAAAACAAAGTATTTCAATGGTCAAAAGTGACTTTCAGATAATGGCAAACTACATTTAAGCAGCATTTTAGATGTTAGCTAGTTTAGGCTACTTAAAGCTTACTTTACTTTTGCTTGTATGAGTGAAAACAAATCCCAACACATAGTTATGCTGCAAAAACTGTGGTCTTACTAGTCCATTTTGATTGCATACTGCATATGAAGACCCTCTTTCCCTACGGTGAACAGGGTGGCTTTTTCTAGCAGTGCAGTTTTGCTGTGCAGCTTTGTTGATTTAAATGGCTCAAAACAACTCAGAAATCGGATGAAGCAGCTTTCCTTCAGTACAGAATAATACTTTCTCTATATGTGCATTTATCTTCTCTGTAAGCAACAGATTATATAGATCTAGGGTTGTCTTGTGGTTTTTTTTTCCTTTTAAAAAATACACATTCTCAGTACTGTAATCAATGTTTAGGCAAGAACAGGAACTGGATTTGGTTTTTTCTAAAGTATAGTTATATTCTTCAGTCATTTTGACACTGATAAATGATTCATTTATAGGCTTTTTTTATGCCAAACATTTGGAACCAGTTAAGATTCTTATTATCTTCCTTCTGGAAAATCAATTATAGAAAGTTACATATTTTAAATGTAGCTACCTATCATCCATGTGAACAGCTCAGAGAACAGTCAGCAAGCTCACTCCTGGATTCTGTCTACACTAAGAGACACCATTATCCATTCCAACCACCAACCCCGCAGCGCAGCTCCAAGAGCAACAGCAGTTCGTTAAACCAACTTTACTACTCACAGCTTCAAACTAGCAAGTCCTGTACAGCCACCACAGGTTTTGCAATTAGCAACTAAGACATCTGTCCTGAGAGTCTGTGGAAGCACCATTAGTGAGCTGTACAAGACAGAACTGCAGACAGCCCACAGCTCTGGTTGTGGCACCCCAGCACAGCTCGTAAGGGCTGGAGTTTGCACATCACTCAGTTCAAATTGGTTTGATTTCCAATGCCCAGGAACATTTTCCAATGTTCCTCTGCAGGTGATATTAACATCGAAATATATTCAAGGTACAGGGTTTTGTGGACACGAATAACCCTGAAATTAATTTAACGACAATTTTGAGGAAAAATATTTTAGTTGGTTTGATTTGCGTACTGGGTTTCTGTGAATCACCATCTCCCTATCCCTTCAATGCGAAGTCAAAGTTTGTGCAGAAAATATCCTCCCTCTTTGTTAGTACCTGCTTAAAATTTTGCTTTTTTAAGTCTTTAAAAGCTTCACGTTAGCTCTAAGTAACATTCTCGGTGACTTTTGCTTGCTTTTAACCTTTAGAACCATGAATATTGGAAAACAGAAGCATTCTTAAAAGAAAACTCATTTAACTTATTTGCTTATTAAAGATGGGACTGTTTAAATACACTGATTCAGTTTTCAGAAGGCAGAGAAATATTAACCAAACCACTTACATGAGCAGTATTTGATTTTTATCACTTCAAGTTCTAAAGGGAGCTCCTTTTTCACTTAAAACCACCAAGTCAGAGGGCATTCAAACACTGCTTCCCTGTTTCAAAGATTCACGGAACTTCGAGAGAACAATTGCAGCAGGGCTTTACTTCTAGCACTCACTGTTTGTCAACTGTGCAGGTCCAGGCTGACTTTCGATGAAACACTGAGAAATGGTGAATGTTTGTAATGAGTTTACACTGCCTTAAACTACTGCAATACTCTCATTCATCAAGTCAGAAGTTCCACTTTCCTTACGTTTTGAAAGGTCTATTCCATTTTGATATAACAGATTTTTGTTTTGCCACATGCCTTAGTTCACATATCTTTAAAAAAAAAAACCTCAAGACTTACTGACAAGTTCAAAGGAACAAACATTTTCAACAAGCATTTCAAAGTCTAGAAGTCTATTATAGTTCATTTATAATCCAGACTTGCATCCCTTGAAGAGTGTAAAAAAACAGGCTACAATGTAAAAAGTTGCAGTACAACAGGAGAGCTATTCCAATAAGTTTCTGAACAAAATCTGGGACCATCTTCTTCCTCTCCCCCTGCCCACCCCAAATACATGTAAATTTTACCTCTTTCCATGTTTACATATATTTTGAATAAACACCTAAAAAGTTGTTGCTCTGTTTTGGCTCAGTGGATCTTCTGTGCAGATATTCAAGTATTAAGAAAATGCAGCTGAACAAGGATATGTGTCCTCATAGTGCAGTTTACAGAGAAGCACAATATTGACTAGTCTGCAGTATATTCTACCCCAAATCCCTGAAGAAATCTTTTTAACTTTGGGATCTGTAGCCTGCTTCCAGAGCTGGCGAAGATCATCTACGTGTCCGTGAGATGTCATCATCTTGTTATAAATGCAGGGATGATATGGAGCCTTTCCTTCCCCAGAAAAAAATACATGATATTGTGGTACAATTCCCATTTTATTGGCACAGAGACCCATGAAAACATCATCTATATAAAGACTTGTATTGAGAGTCAGTGAAGCCTCATAGACTTTAGCTGCTACATCACTGGATATGACATATGCAGCTCCTGCGGTGTAGTCAGGGTAAGAGGGCCACTGGTACATTTCATATGGAACGTAATATTTGCTACTCTTGTCTCTTACGGGAGGGGATCCACGATGGACACGGCCAATCCAGAGATCTTGAACACCCATTTGTGTTAGACTTTGGAGATAAGCAACAAGATTTGGCATATGGATAAATATGTCATCATCTGCAGACATAATGAACCTGGCATGAGGACAGTAGGCATTCACCCAGCTAAACTGCAAAAGCAATTTTAGAGTAAGATTGTGAAAAGTATCCAAGAAGTCTTGCTGAATCAAATCATGGTATTTCTGGTCTTCAAACTCAAGTTCCCTTTGCTGCCATGTTTTCTGCAGATGGTCTGTTGGTCGTCCTAAAGCAAAAAGAGTTTTAATGTTGGCATTAAGTTGAGAACGAACATACTTCTCATTACCCCAAGTCTGTCTGATTGCATCCCTCCGATGACGGTTTTCAGGAGAAGTCTTCACAAACAATAGGAGAAGGACATCCTGCTGCTGACATTTCTCTCTGTGGTTAATCAAGTATTGGTAGCTCGATACTCTGTCCAGGTTATCCCTGCTGATAGACAGGCTGTCATTCACAAAATGGTAGCTATTTATGAGGTATCTGTAGGAGTAGGACTTCATATGGCTCACAATGTGATTATCAAATGGTCCCCAAAAAATCATGAGACACAGTATGAAGCAAGTGGCAAATATCTGCAAAAAATGGCATTTTCTGACTCTTCTGGGACTAATAAACATTCTGATGCAGTTTTTATAATCCTTATTCCTGTTCAGGATCAGTGTTTTTCAAGTGCGTGTGTTTTTGTTTAAGAGCACAGTGTCACCCCTTCAAGATAAGTGTCCCTTGTAAGGCATGATGTCTTTCACTCAGTATCCTTGTGAAGCCAGCTTTGTTCACAGACTTCATAAGTCATCTTTCTCAAAAAACGTTTTTCTTTGATTGAAAGAACACAGGCAGTTTTGAAAGATGAGACTCGCAGATGAGTATTTTCCCTTTGGGGCATCTTGAAACAAACACTGTGGTTCTAATCAGATCTTCTCATGTGTTCCCCTCCTTCATGAAGATGAACACCTGCCAATTCTAAGTGGGGGAGAGGAGAAAGATTTCTGTGAACAGTTATTAACACATTTGTGTTTAGGTTTGGTCATGGAAATGATTGACTACTCAGACGCTTCCCATCACCACCCACACACAAACACAGCCCCTCCCACGCCCCAAAAGAAAAAAAGTAACCCAACTGGCAGCAAGTCAGAGGTGATCAGTGGCCCAGAGCAAGCTTGTGGAGGCCAGGAAGGAGGAACCTGACACAGAAACCTCTTTCTTAGAAATGCCCACCGCTGTTAACATGGATAGCATTTTATTTAAACTCTAAGCTCGGAGAGGGACGCAGCCTACAAACGTCTCGGGTTACAAATTGTCTTTGGGCAGTCGGTCTGCTAAAGACACAAACTAGAGCTCCCGGGGCAGGGAGTGCCGGGTGAGCGCTCCGGCCGGACCCCTGGCAGCCCTCGGTGTCCCCCACGGCCGCCTCCCGCCTCTGCCGTGCCGTCCCCTTGCCCGCAGAGCTCCATCCCCCCCAGCCTCATCCAGCACCTTCCCCCGCGGAGCGCCAGGACGGCCCCGCCGCTCCGCCCCGGCCCCGCGCTGGGTGCGCCCGCTGGACTCGACAGCTGCGGGGCTCGAGAAGCGCCGCGAGTTCAACCGTGCCCGGACCGGCCGGTCCCAAACGGCCCAGCCCCGGCTCGGGACCGCCCCGAGCCCGCCGTGCACACAGCTGGTCACCCGAGCTACCGTTAAGGGGCGGGCTGACAGACAGACAGACAGGCTGCACCCCTGTCACAGGTACAGCTCTGGAGACCGGACAGCTCACACTTCAGGGCTACTGTCTCTGCTAGCAGCTAGGGTTTAGCGAAGAACTCAAAGCACAAAAAGCCACCCGAGTCCAGCCTTCCCACCCTGCAGTTTAAAAATCAGTTCTTGTCACTGTTACTCTTCCATGTAACAGACAAGAACAGCCTGAAGTTGCACCTCCTCGTTCATCCCATAAAAAAACGAAAATAAAGAGCTTTGTCAACCAAGAAATGTAGGACTAGCACCGTAAGGAATGACACCCCACAAGCTAAGCAGTGGCTGCATGGAAATAACTCCTGAAGCAGGAGAACACAAGCTATCATTTTTAAGTTAGAAGTTCTGTGCAACACAAATGTTTTGAGAATGTTTTACTCATCTGAAGTCTTGCAACTAGATAATGATGAGAACACAACACAGAATAGAAATAAGAAAACTTGGAGCAATTTTGTGGTGCTTCAGGAAGGCAACTGGCTGCTCAAAATGGGAACCACGCATTGGTGTACCCGAGGATTGCAGATTGTAATGCATAACAGAAAAGCTGTATGGGCAGTTTGGTGAATAAAAGTCAGTCAGCGCTTTTTATAGTATCAGTTTAAACCCTTTTTATTTTGGAAACATGAAGTTAAACAATGCACCTCAGAGTTATAAACTCAGCAACTTTACAATAGAACACTATTGTAAAGCTTACTCTTGTTTCAGAGATGCAGACAAGCTGGAGTGTTACAGAAATCCAGACATTTGGTAGTGTCTTTTGGAGGAGTTGGTCTGAAGATACCAGGTAGTCAGTCTGCCCACCACCATCATGATAAGGTTAAAAGCAGAGGACTGAAAGTAATCTATTTAACCACTTGAAGCAAAGTTTACCCTGGTAAACATGGGAATCCTCATCACCAAATACAACTTCTTTAGATTACACTTGGAGAAGTAGTTTTGGCAACAGTCTGCAATTGCCCCTGTCATCGGGTAAAAGGAGACAACAATCAACACCACAAATACAAAGGACAAGGTCACTGAAACCTAGCAGCGAAACTAATCTACATGACAGTTATCCCCACTAGGGAAAAATAAAAGTCCTCAGGAAAAAAACACAAAACACCACCAACACCCAAACCAAACCCACAAACCAATCAAAAAATCCACCACAAAACACAAAAGTCATCACAGAAATAGCTTTAAATACAGAGCAGATAGCAGGGGACAAGAGAGATGCACAGACTCCCTTTTCTGCTATCTAGCACCTCCCTCCTGAAGTCAGGGATGCTGGAACGAGAGGTTAAGCTTCTCCTTGCAGAAAAACATGCCATTAAATTAACTGAGTAAGGGCTAGAACAGCCTGGTCTGTCATTTCCTTGATCTAGTTCAGAGGAACTAAATCAACCATTAGTAGTCAGAAATTGTTCAGAATCCTCCTCAGAAATATACCTCTCAGGTAAAACTTTAAAATGTGACTATAGATGAACAATACTGATGAAATTTACAGAGGCCTATACTTGCCTATCTCTCTCCAAAAAAGGTCTGGATACTTGCACTGAAGGTACTAATGCACAAGCAGAGTCTCTTTGACCGTCAGAACTTTTTATAGCCCCATTTACAAAACCCATCCTTTGGGCTTAGTCATGTTCTCCTTCCCTTAACAGGAAGTTAAGGAAAGCAGGTTGAGTCACCACAGGAGCTATTTGCTGCCATGTGAATCTCATAATCCTGAGAAAACAGTCCAACACAGCAGTGTGTGTGTTCTCCCTAGCAAGAGGAAACCCCATGGAACAGAGATAAAACCATGTCTGACAGTCATTTTTCTGACCATAATTAAGGTACTTTGCCTCTTGATGTGCATTTTCTTACTCGTGGCTTGAAAGCTGTTAGATTCACTCTGAGGCCTGAGAAAGACTGTGAGAACCAAGCACCAAGTTCCTGCAACTGCCTTCCTTTCCAATAGATTTCAGATTCATGACTGCACGTGGTCTTCCCCCTGTTGCAAGTACGTACTAGAAGCTTTTGTCATCCTGTAGCAATCCTGCCTTTCCTAAAGGAGCTTTAACTTTTCAGTATTACCACAAGCATGAATCACTTAATGTAGCAGCTGTTCTGTTCTGTATTTTGCATTCAGAATATATTCTGGTATGAAAGTGGGTTGTCTCGCGAACTCAATAGTTTGTAGTGTGACCGCTATGGAAAAGCCAATCCTTAGGGAGCTACTTTAAATATCCACAGAAGTCAATATTTGGAAAAAAAAAAAAAAAAAAAAAAAAAAAAAAAAAAAAAATTAAAAAAAAAAAAAAAAAAAAAAAGTCATTATGAAGTTTATTTCAGGATAGAACAGTTTTGGGAAGTCTGCTGAGGAGTGGCAGACAAGAGAGATCCTAAAGAAACACAAAGGCACCCCAGACATGAAACACCAGAGACACAGACCCTTGCAGGAAGAACCATGAAGAGACAACATTCACACTTGGATATGGTGGTTTTTCCCAACTACCACTACCCTGATAAAAACCTAAACCCAAGAGAGACCAACTAAGACTGCCCAGAGAGAACATCTCATTTTCTAACAGCTACAAATTTTGTCATGTGGTACCAGATGCAGGGCTAGGCTTCAATACACCACATCATAGAATCCCAGAATTAGATGGGTTGGAAAAGACCTCTGAGATCACCAAGTCCAATCCTTGATCCACTACCACCACAGTTACTAGACTATGGCACTCAGTGCCACATCCAGTCTCTTCTTAAATACCTCCAGGGATGGAGAATCCACCACCTCCCTGGGCAGCCCATTCCAATGCCTGATTAGAATTCCAATGCCTGCAAAGAATTTCTTCCTAAGTCTAACCTAAACCTCCCCTGGCAGAGCTTGAGACCGTGCCCTCTTGTCTTGATAGCTGCCTGGGAAAAGAGACATATCCCCACCTGGTCACAACCTCCTCTAAGGTAGTTGTAGAGGGTGATGAGGTCTCCCCTGAGGCTTCTCTTCTTCAGGCTAAACAACTCCAGCTCCCTCAGCCTCTCCTCATAGGACTTGAGTGTTCAAGTCCCTTCACCAGCCTCGTTGCTCTTCTCTGGACCTGTTCCAGCACCTCAATATCCTTCCTGAACTGTCCAGAACTGGACACAGCACTCCAGGTGTGGCCTCACCAGTGCCAAGTACAGGGGAAGGATCACTTCCCTGCTCCTGCTGGAATCCTATTCCTGATCCAGGCCAGGATGCCATTGGCCTTCTTGGCCACCTGGGCACACTGCTGGCTCATGTTCAGCCTCCTGTCAATCAGCACCCCCAGATCCCTTTCTGCCTGGCTGCTCTCCAGCCACTCTGTGCCCAGCCTGTAGCGCTGCAGGGGGTTGTTGTGGCCAAAGTGCAGGACTCGGCACTTGGCCTTGTTGAACCTCATCCTGTTGGAATCAGCCCTGCACAACCCGCATTTTAGGACAAAGATCATAATGTACAGTTATTTTTCACTCTGCCTAGGACAGAAGATAAGTTTAGATCACAAGTGGCTTTGCCAGACAACAGGATATACCACGAAGCACTATCTTAAATAGAAACATTTTGTACAATTTGTAGCAACTGCCCCTTTAACATCAACAACTCTTGGATAAAGTTCAGAAGACCTACAAGAAAGAGTGTAAAACTGAAACATTATCTGGTTTCAAACAGAAGTAATCCAAAGAGCTGCTGATCCTTATGTCCATGTCTTGTCGTTGGCTGTGACAAAGAGCCAGTTGAAGGGTGCCATTCTATGCAATGATTGAGTTCAATCAAAAGCCGGGGGGACAGCCTCACACTCACTCTTCCCCCAGTCCTCATCAAGGCAACCTTCGACAGCTCTGGAGTTTATACAGTTGCTCAACAAGCCAAATTCACCTTCTCCCAACCTTTTGCCCTCAAAAGGCAACCTGATGAAACCTGAAGAAGTATCAGAAAGCGGCTAATTGAGGTCAAGCTATGCCTAACCTAAGTGCACAACAGGATTCAAGAGTTTCCTTTGTAGAACCAGATGTAACACGCATTGTTTCTGAAGCTTTCAGTCTTTTCAAATCTAAGCTACTGGCCAGGCTCTGTGGCCACAGAAAACTTGAAGCCCTAGGACAGGCTTTTGCTCCAAAGTCAGGATAGTCCTGTCACATGAGCTACTCCATCTGAGCTTGTTTGACAGTGGAGTGTTGGAAGGCACATCGTAGAGGTGCTCCATCCTGCTTCAGGTGGACTCCATCCTGTGTGCTCCATCCTGACATCAGATGTCACAGGAGCATCTGTGACCAATCCTACAGCACTAAAGGAATGTGCCCAGCCACAGAGGTGACCGAAGCAGACATGCTGCAGTTAAATCTGCATGGGCCAAGAAAAGAGCGAGTTAGATTTTCCTGAGCTTTCAAAATCTGTTCAGAAAGAGGCTACAGGTTTCAAAGAACATGTGTTTTGATATGTTTTAGAGTTTTGTTTGTTAAGTAGAATTTAAAACTTTTTTTTCCCCCATGTTTGGAGCAATTTAAACAGTTATAATTCCTGTAAATTGAACTTTTCCATCTCCAGCATTACTGATTTATGTATTGCTGACACCCAAAGACCAAAGGAAACCCAGTCAAGTTCGCACATCAAATAATAATAAAACACAAGCTTATCAAGATTTTCCATTCCAACTGTTAAGAAAGTATCTAACTTAATAGGAGCAAAGCCTAAATGGAGTTTGCTGCTTACAGCTTTAGCTACAAGATTATGCAACCCAGGTTCCTCTGATCACTTTTTCCTTTGCTGAGGTGTCTTCACAAATTTCTCTCATCTCTACCCTGGCCTATGTCCTCCTTCTTCACTTACCAATATTTGAAAAACTTCTTACATATCTTAAGAAGTTGCT